AGATGTGAAAGCCACATGACTTCATCACCATCTTGGTTAATATATCACATGTTATGAGCCAAAGTCACACCACTCATGAAACTTCCCCATACCACTGAGTTCTCAGGGAAGCAGTGCAAGTTCCTTGAATCACAGGCATGCCTCTCACTTGTCCTAATCTCCTCCCATTTTTTTCCTGTTTTGTTCTTTATTTTTCTGATGCATAATTGGCTGTCTCAGAAACAAGAGACCCAGAGGAGATACCAACATGAGCTGTATTTCCAAGAGATAAAGTCAACGTATTTTTGTATCAGATTAAGGCGGCAATACCAGACTTTTATGGTGGGTTTTAAACATTTACATATTCTATATATCAAGATTATCTAGCCAAATTCAAAACAACAGATATTCTGGAGTCTGTATTTCTTGCAGGCTTTGCAAGGCAAATTATCTCCATCAGAAGTTAATTCTTCTGAGTTGATACCTAGACCATTAATTGCTACTTCTGTAATAAATGATAAAGGTTCTTGGCACACATTGTTTTGCATGGTGTGTTTACTGTTTTTGTGTGCGGGGGACTTGTGAGCTTTCCTAGCCATGTATCCAACTACTAAGGGAGCTGACACTTTGAGATAGCTACACTTGAAAAGCTCATGGGAATTTGCAATAGCCCAGAGAGAAGTTTGGAAGGCACCGAGATCTAACCAGAAGCCAGAGAATAGACTGCCAAGTGCTATACAAGCTCCTGCCAGTGTGCAACTACAATAGCAAAGAGAAATCAGCCTTCTCAGGCTGGAGGTAGAGATGCTGGCTGTGCTGGGCTTCATGCCTGATCTCTCTGTTCAGCATCTCCAGGCCTGGTTTATCTCATTGAGATATAATGTTCTTTTCTCCTCCTTCTTTTCCTCCTCCTTTTGTTTGTTTGTTTGTTTGTTTTTTGAGACAGGGTTTCTCTGTATAGTAGCTCTGGCTATCCTGGAACTTCCTTTGTAGACCAGGCTGGCCTCAAACTCACAGAGATTCGCCTGACTCAGCATCCCAAAATGCTGGGATTAAAGGTGAGTGCCAACATACCCTCATATTCTTCCCTTCCTAATACTGTTTTTCCCTGTGCTGACTGTCTGCTTCTGTTTCTTCTCTGTTGATCCCTGGTACCCTGGCTTCACTTTTCACAGCTGCACTTACATGGACAAGCTAAGGAAAGAACAAGCTAATGCCCACCCACCCCTTTCTAAGTTCTTTTAGTTCCTGCTAAAGGTTTTGTTTTTTTAATTTAAAAATTAATTTATTTTTATTTTATATGCATTGGTGTTTTGCCTGGTGTATTGTCTATGTGAGGCTGTCAGAGCCCCTGGAACTGGAGTTAACAGTTGTGAGCCACCATGTGGGAATTGAACCAGGTCCTTTAGAAGAGCCCTTCTGCCTTAGGCTTTAAAGAATTTTTTTTTTGAGACAGGGTTTCTGTGTAGCTTTGGAACCTGAACAGGACATCCCTCTGTAGATGAGACTGGATTCAAACTCACAGAGATTAATCTGCCTTTGCATGCACCACCACTGCCTGGACCCTGCCATGGCTTTAACAGGGTTTTCTTAGCTGAAGTCTTCTGGATGCTGCAAACATCAGTTTGATGATATTTTGCTGTGTATCTGATACTTCTGTCTGCTTCTTACATTCATCCAAAACCAAAGGCACCATTATAGTAGGCCATTTTGTGTACGGTATAAAGGCTGAGCTTTCTATAAGGTTTACCCCTAGTTTTAACAGTATGTACAAAGTAATGCTATTACATTATATCCTAAATGTGTAGTTCAGATTCAGTTTGTTTTATTAAGGTGGTGTTGGACAGCACTCCTTCTGAGCTGTACAGCTGACATCATCATGTCCACTGTGCCTGCTTAGAAAAGTCATCACAGCTAGGCTTCTCAACTGTTGCTGTTTCTGCACTGGGGTGGGGGGATGGGTAGGATCATTGGACCCCCATCTGAGTATTCAGTCACTCCTTCTATAAGGTGTGTGTGATTCTGCCCTAAGGCAATTGGCTCATTGTTCTTGGGCGAGTATATAAGTGAAAGTATATAAGATGGGGATGAATAAGGAGAGAGGGTTCCACCTATGCAGCTGTGGGAAAACCATCATGCATGTTGGGTGAAGATTTTTCCAGAGAGGCCACTTTTGGGTTTCCTATCTATCAGTAACCCCTCATCCAGGCTGATAAGTAACCAGTAAACTCATTGGTTCCCTGTAAGTACAATAAAGTTATTGGTTTTCCATGGTGGGCTTTGGTGACTAAAACTTTGATTTGTCATTGGAACTTTATAGGGAATGGGTAGACATTGTCTAGTTACTCTCCTCCCAAATTCTCACAACAGATGGTAAATTTGTTACTGTTACTATGTCTCATATTAAAAATAGCTAGAAAGCTTATCTGAGTTATGAGGTCTGAGTAAGCTATTTAAGGTATATTAAACATAAGAGGTAGGCATGATATGCAGATGTTAAAATTTCTAAGGTTAAAGTTTAGTACATCGATGTCCAAGTTCAATACATGGAACTTTGCCTAAATCAATGGAGACACTGGGTTTTGCCTACACTTTACCTAAATGTTGTGCAGTAATTAAAAGTACCTGCTGAGTGTTTAGTAACCACACTAAAAGGCTACACTGATGTAATCCAAAGGATTAAAGGGAGACTATTGTTCTCCTTGTCATCAAATGTCAGTTAGTCCCCAGAGGACTGTAGGATAGCCCTAAAAATGTTCTGAAACTTTCTTTCAGGGGGGCCATGGAGACCCTACCCAGTGGCTCTAACTAGTGTCCAGTTTATAAAGAGGATGGTCAGCACAGAGAAAAGTATGCCTCCAAGTAAAGTTGTGGTTAAACAAGGCCTCTGATGTACCCTCACATAGGTGGAGCAAATGGTAAAATGACATCTGAATGGGCCTAGAGTTTTCTCTCAAGCCTCAGTGACTTCCGAGGACAAGCTCCTTAACTGACCTTGAAAGTTAAATAAAAGCAGTTAATTTTGGTCAACTCCATGGTCTTAAACACCTGTCAGGAAAGAACAAACAAAGACTGAAATGATTAGTGTTGCATTAGACTTAAATCCATGTGAGATGCTATTTAGACAACTGTACATTGGTAATGACTTCCTGCTTCATAGGGAAAATGCTGCCCAGATATGAGACTTTAGACCTCAGCTCAAGTCAACACTGCAGTGCCTATCTGGAACCCAGACAGTTGGGTCCACTATTGTTTTAACCTGAAAACTAAGTGATGCTTGAATCCCTCCTCTCTGCCTCTCTAGAAGCCATCCTAGAGGGGGCTCAACTGTGATTGTAGTCACTCCAACAGCTGTCACAGTGTCTGAAAGTGGACCTGAGATTCAGCACTCTGGAGAGCAACCTTGGAGGCCAGAGAAACACAATGTGGCCCAAAGATGAAGGCACTTGTGAACCTATCAAACTGTTTTAAGGGACTGTGACTTGGACATTTGAAAGTATCTCTGTTCTGGTCTTTCTGGTTCCCTGACTCAGACTTTTGTGTATTTATTTACTTTTAAAGTTACAGGCTTTCTCTGTGTAGCCCTGGCTGGCCTGGAACTCAGAACTCTGCCCGCCTCTGCCTCTTGAGTGCTGGGATTAAAGGTGTGCACCACCGCCATCAGGCCCTGTCTCAGACTTTTAATGTGGAGAACTTTGTGTCTTCACTTCTTCACATCTGTGTCCAGGCACTAGACAATGGTCACCTTTTCTCCATATCCCCAAATGTTATATAAATGCAACCACCAATACACTTCGGGATCTTTTATTTTATTTTATTTTATTTTATTTTTATTGAGCTATATATCTTTCCCACTCTCCCCTCTCTTCTCCCAATACCTCTTGTCCCCTGTGTTACTCGGGATATCTTGTCTTTTCCCCTCTTCCTAGGCAGATCCATGTGTGTCTCTTAGGATTCTCTCTGTCACCTAGGTTCTCTGGGGTTGTGAACTGTATACTGGTTGTCCTTTGCTCTATGTCTATTATCCACCTGTGAGAGAATACGTATTATATTTGTCTTTCTGGGTCTGGGTTACCTCACTCAGGATGTTATTTTTTTTCTAGTTTTGTCCATTTCCCTGCAAATTTCAAGATGTCTTTTTTTTTTCCTTCACTAAGTAGTACTCCATTGTGTAAATGTACCACACTTTCTTTACCCATTTTTTTTCAGTTGAGGAGCATCTGGGTTGATTCCAGGTTCTGACTATTATGAATAATGCTGCTGTGAACATAATTGAGCAGATGTCCTTGTGATATGATTGGGCATCCTTTGGTATCTCTGGGTCTTGAGGTAGATTGATTCTCAAATTTCTTAGAAACTACCATATTGATTTCCAAAGCAGCTGTAAAGGTTTTCACTCCCACCAGCAATGGAGGAGTATTCCCCTTTCTCCACATCCTCTCCAGCATAAGCTGTCATCAGTGTTTTTGATCTTGGCCATTCTGACAGGTGTAAGATGATATCTCAGAGTTGCCTATCTCTGCCCTCTGAGTGCTGGGATTAAAGGCATGCACTATCACTGCCCAGCCATTATACATTTTTTAGTCATTCCCCCCACCCCATTTTTGAAGAGGTAACTTAACTGCTGTTATGAAATCAGGACAATGATCTGTTTTTTTCCAGCTTGAAGGGGTCATTGGGCATAGCAGTCAGAGTACCCCTGCAATAGTCCTATCTAAAAGACCCCAAAGTGCATGCCAGAGGATAAAGCTGAGCTTCCACCAACAGGATGAGATGCAGCCATCACTTGCATCAGTGATGAAAGACAGACCATTTTGGCCAAGTGTGCTGCTTGCTAGTCCAGTTTTGGTTCTGGCACACCTTTCCTAGGGAAAAAAATTAGTTTTACTTGTCATTTTCCTTGTGGGATACCAAGATCACTCTTTTCCAGTACAGACCCAGAGCCTAGATTCATCTCTCAAACATTTATTGATGCTTCTTCTCTCTGTGGAGACAGCCCCAACTCAGAGAGATGGGATAGGGGGATGCAGGAAGAGCTGTTCTCTAACACTGTGGCTAGGAGGGCAGGCAGGGGATCAGATGACCAGGGCTTTAGAGTAGTGATTTTGAAACTGACAAAAGTCAGGTTAGCTGGGAGGTTTAGGGCATTTTGTGGTTTGGAGTTGGGGTCTCTGAAGATCAGGCTGAGTAGTAATGGTTCATGAGGCTGAGAAGTAATGGTTCATTAGAAAAAAAATTCTCGATAGTGGGTTTGAGGAACATGAGCCAGACTTCTGATTCACCCTGAGGCAATGGGCATGGCACTGGGACATTGGGCGGCATCAGCAGCTGCTCCTCTTCTCACAGACCCAGCCATCCCTTTCACTGGTGCATGGCGCATCATTCCACAGCCCTGAGTGTAGCATCATGACACAATCCTCTTGTCCTCTGGAATCATTGGGCTCTCCATAGTTCCAGTGGCTGTGGTGATTCAGTGAGGGTGTAACTGGGTGTCTGGGCTGGCAATAGGGTCCAGCCTTCCTTCCCTGTTGCTTGGCTCTGGCATAGACACCCTGAATGTCTAATTTGAGTTTATATTTGCAGTGTACATTTGTAAGAGTTCATAATTTAACTCTTGTAAATTCCCAGGGTCTAGCTTTTCCTATTCTTAGAAGCTTAGTTCAGGGACTGTAGAGAGATTCCTTAGTGGATAAGAATGCTTGTTGTACAAATATAAGGACTTGAGCTAAAATCCCAAGTAGTCACATAAAATCTGTGTGTGGCTGTGCATGTGTTTGTGACCCTAGTAGGGTGGGATTTAGAGATAGGAGGGTCCCTGGGGTTTTCTGGCTGTTAGTCAAACTAGATCCAGGTTCACTGAGAGGCCCTGTCTTAATGGAATAAAGCAAGGGATGGTAGAACAGATTACCCAGAGTTCTCCCATAGCCTTTGCATGAGCATGCATGAGTATACACAGCTTCACATGCACCATATACCATCCCCCACAAAGCATGAGCAATAGTCCCCTCCCAGGAATCTAGTCTTCAGACATACCCAAAAACTTTCCCCTTAGGGTCAACTTTCAAATCTTTCTTGGAGCCTTCTCCTTACCTGAAGGTGAGTGAGACTCCATCTACCCACTGGTAGCCCTGAATCTTGCCCAGGCGGCGAACTGCCCTCAGACCCAACCAGTAGCCTCGGCCACGTGTATGCTGACTCAGGAAGCCCTGGAAGGGAGTAGAGATGTTAGCCGGCCTATCTGCTCGACATCCTGAGCCATACCAACTCAGGTGAACTCTGATTCTGCTTTGCCAAGTCCCAGCTGCATACCTGCTCATCTGGGCCTTTGACAGTCACCAAGTGAGCACCATGGACTGAGCAGTAGCTCTGTGCTGTGCCCCATACAGCCTGCGTCTCAGAGAAATAGTAGCAAGAACCTTGGAAGGGCATCCATGATGCAGGGCACTGTTCGCAGGATCCTGTCAGGTTGTGAGGATAGGGACCATTGGAATGCCATGGAGGGTGTGGCATACCAAGAAACAAGGCTCAGATCAAAGGGTGTGTCTGATTAAAGGCGCAAGTCTTGCTGCATCAGGCAGGGTCCGCTCCTCCCCCACCCTCAGAGTCCTCTCCAGCTCACTGTTCTGTTGCTTGACAGTTTCTAACGCCTGGAGCAGCTCACTGCGTATATCGTCACGGTCTCTGCCTGCTTTAGCCAGGCCCTGGGTCACTATGGGGTCAGAGTGGTGGACATTTAGTGCCGGGGTGAAGATTGGCACTTAAGCATAGGTCAAGATCTATGTCCATTGTCAGTTCATGGTTGGTATCAGGGTCAAGAATGACTTCAGTGTGGGAGTGGTGGTTTTCAGCTACTCCAGAAGGCTGAGGAGGGTAAATTCAAGGCTACATTGGGCTACAGAGTTTAAGTTCACCAGGGGCAACTTAGTGATACCCTGTCTCAAGAACAAAAACAACATAACACAACAACAACAACAACCACAAACGTAAAATGAGTGCTGGTGGTAGATAAGCTTGGTGTTAGAGCCTAGAATCCCCCAGTAAGGAATTGGGACTGTGGTTCAAAGGTAGAAAAGACTTGCTTAGGATCCTGCAGTGAGGACCTGGGGCATGGCTCTGTGGTGGAAAGCCTGCCTAGCATGTGAACCCCGAGGTGCAGTTACCAGGAACCTGAGGGTCCAGGACTATACTACTAAGAAGTGGTGTGACTGTGGTTAGCGTGAAGGTCAGGGCTTTAGCGCTCACCACGTTCTTGCAGTTCTTTAAGGGCGCTCTCCTGCTCCATCAGCTTTGCCCGCGTGTTCTTAAACTCAGAGAGTGTGGTTTGCAACTGCGCTTTTATCCCGGAGCCTATGTGGGGATGGGGAACTCTTTCGAGGCCAGCCAGCCCCTCCCATCACTTGCCTCTCCCATCCCACTGGTCCCATTCCCAGCCCCACAGCTCTCAAGCCTCCACTGTTTCTTACAGCAGTTCCTGCAGCCTCCGACATCCTCTTTCAGGGCACTCAACATCATCTTTTGTTCTGAGGCTGAAATGACATGTCCCCCCCCCCCGAACCCCATTAGGTCAGAGGATACCCTTCTGCAATCCAGGTTCAACCCCATCTCCAGGGGCCTCAGCTAGTCACTCACTACCCAGTCTCTGAATCCCTGGCAGTCCCAACTCCGACCGCCAGGGGGTGCAGACGCCCTGCTCTGAAGCTCGGCACACACCATTTGTCTTCAGCAGGTCCTGGTGGCTGAGAAGTACCCTGCGTTCCCTGGAGGCTGCAGAAAGAAGCAAGCAGAAGTTGGGATCCTCCGCCTTCCCACAGGGTGTGAAGACCCCTGTTTTGTTATCCATAGAGGCACAGGCCAGGAATACAGCACCCGGGCACGGATAGGAAACATACATAATGCATACACACATCGTCCAACAGTGCTTCTCAACCTTCCGAATGCTGCATCCTTTAATAAATACAGTTCCTCATGTTGTGGTCACCCAACCATAATTTTTTTTCGTTGTTACTTCATCACTGTAATTTTGTTACTGTTATGAACCATAATGTAAGTATATGTTTTTCCATGAATATCCAGGACCCCATCTGGTGCACCACAGAGGGAACACCTTCCCCACCGTCCCCACCAGGTGGAGTACAACTTGTCCTGGTTAAAGGATAGTTCCCGTGGGCTGGAGACATGGTTCAGAGGGTTAGAGCAAGCTGTTTGTGATGGCTCACGACTGCCTGTGACTCCAGCTCTAGGGGAGATGATGCTGTGTGCCCTCTGTAGGTACTTGTACATGTGCATCCACCCACACACAGGTACATACATACACATAAAAAGAATCACTCACCCTTGGACAATAGGGCGCTCAGAATGAGAGCCCACAGCACTGTGGCCACCAGGAAAACCAAGACCAGGAAGAAAAGCCTTTGTTTGTAGAACTCCCAGCGTCCCAACTGCCCTAGTAGAACACCGATGGCCTCTTGATTCCTCCAGGATGGAGGTACAGACAGCTTAAGTACCCTCCCTCCACCATGTGATTCCTAAGTGAGGAGTTAAGAGTTCTGATGCCAGTGTAAGGCAGTCTATGACTGGAATAACACCTGCCCCCTCCCTGCCCCAGGTTTCCTGGGGGAGACTCAAGGGATGCCTTTCCAGAACCCAGAATGCAGTCCTTTGGATCCTGGGGAGTGTTCATCCAGGATCCACTCCTCCCCACACCCAGATGCAGGCACCGCCATTCTGCAGTCCTATCCATGCACTGGCATCTCCTGCACGGTCTTGTCTCTTCTCCTCTCCCCTCCCCCACATTAGAACAGAGAGACTCATGGGTGGTACCTCGGGGAACCTCCTCAATGGCACTATCCAGCTTGCTGTATCCACCAGTGTCCATGTTGATGGGGACATCCAGCCCCAGACAGAGATATAAATTTAAGTTTCCACCCTATCCCCATCCTATCTCCCTTCCTTCCTTCCTTTCCATTTTTGTGGCTTCAATTTCTGTGTGGAGGAACCCAGCCAATGGCTATTCGCAGTGCTGGGTAAGGCTGGGGTTGGGAGGGGGAGCTTCAACCTCTGTGGCTTGGTCATTGTTGCTGTGTTTCCTTGGTGCTAGGAGCTTGTCTTTAAAGCTTGTATTTTCTCTTTCCTCTTCTCTTTCTCCATCTCTCTATGTCTCTGTCTCTCACTTTCTATGTGTGTGTGTGTGTGTGTGTGTGTGTGTGCCTGCGGAAGTCAGAGGATAACTTGAGATGTTGTTAGCCAGGCACCATCTATCTTTTTAAAAAATGTATTGCATTTTATTTAGTCATGGGGTGAGTTTGGCACAGGAGTAGAAGTCCCCCCCCCCAGCCCACTCACAGGACAAACTGTGAGAGTTTGTTCTCTCTCTACCATGTGGGTTCTGGGACCAACGCTTGGCAGCAAGCTCCTTTATCTATTGAGTTGTCTTGTTGGCCCCTGTCCACTTTTTTTTTTCTTTTTGAAACAGGGTCTCTCAATTTCCAGGAACTTGCTAAGTACTATTGGTTGGCCACATAGCCCCAGAGCCCCACCTATGTCTATCACCTCAGCCTTGGGGTTGTACCACACCAACTGCCTCTGTCGGTGTAGCTACCGGACAGGACATCAAATTTAGGCCCCCACACCTGCAAGGCTGAGTTTCCTGACTGAGCTCTCCAGTACCCCTAGCTCAGGTCTCTGTCACTAATGGGCTCAGGGCTGAGATTTCTCCTGAGGGGGAAAGTAGTGAACCCAGCCAAGTGTCTCAGGACCCTGCTGGATCCTGCAAAAGCTCCTTAGGTGTGACCTCGACCTGAAGGTGTTGGTCAGACATTACTTGACCTTGATGTGAAGTCATCTGACTTTGGTCAGAAGGGAGTGAATAACTGTGGGAACTGTTAACTAAGCTTGGGGTGCTCCTGCTGGAGAAAGCGGGTGGGACTAGAGGTGGAATGTGCCTGTAATCCCAGCTCCGGGGAAGTGGACACAGCCAAGTCCCTGGAGCGCCTTAGAGTTCCATGTCCTGTGAGAAACTGTGTCTCAGAAACCAGCTGGGGTCAGTGATGGCTCAGCTGGCAAAGGTGTTTTGCCCCCATGCTTGATGACTTGCGTTTGATTCTAGGACCTACATGAAAGAGAACCAACTCCTGAGAGTTGTCCCTGACTTCCACATGTGTGCCATGGCTTGTGTGGACACACATGCATGTGGAAATCTTTTCACAAAGTAAATAAATAAATGTAATTGAAAATCCTCCCCCCCCCATACACGAAAAAACTCCTGGGAAAAAACACCCTAGACTGTCCTCTGGCTGCCACATTCAGGAAGATCTGGAGTTCCGAGATAAAGGGTCAACCTGGATTAAAATGTAAGGAGCTCGAATCTCAAAACCAAATGAAAACCCAATGAAACCTTCCTGCACAAAACCCAAACAGAGCCGGGAGTTGGTGGCGAAAGCCTTTAATCCCAGCACTCAGGAGGCAGAGGCAGGCAGATCTCTGTGAGTTCAAGGCCAGCATGGTCTACAGAGCTAGTTCCAGGACAGGCTCCAAAGCAATATAGAGAAACCCTGTCTCGAAAAACCAAAACCAAAACCAAAACAAACAAAACAAAAAACCAACTAACCAACCAACCAACGAACCAAACAACAACAACAAAAACAACAAAAAATTAAAACAACAACAACAAAATCCAAACAGAAACCGATGAACATGGGGCTATAGCAAAGCCCATAGGATGCTTGCCTATCATGCACAAAACCCTGGATAGGATCCCCAACAAGGGACACACTGGATGCAGCCAGTGTGCACCTGTAATCCACACCTTGGCAGGATGAGTCAAAAAGATCTGGCTACCAAGAGGAGTCTGAGGCCAGCCTGGGCTACTTGAATTCCTGTCACAAAGAAACAATAAACTCAAACCCAAGCCCAAACCAACACTAAGCCTCTCCTCAGCCTCTAAATGTAATGTAATCTTTAAACAAATATTGGGTATCTGATGTTTGACAGAAATTTCCCTGAGAATCGGGCTAAATCAGTGACCAAATTCTTTCCTCCTGGGTATTAATATTTCTTGGGAATGGGTGGAGGAACAGACACTATGTTAAATTCATCACGGATGGGAAAGGAGCCAGTAGGGTCACATGCTTCCACCAGGAACAGTTGCAGGGAGAGGGAGTGTCATTTTCTTCAGTGCTGGGGCCACTGGTTACTTCCCCTGCTCCTATGAACAAATCACCTTCCACCTACACTCAGGGAAGCAGCCGTAGTTAGACTCAGTGGGCCACACTCAGAAAGAAGACATGGCTACAGGACGGGCTCGCTGAGAAGGCTTCCAATGGGACAGGGAGACGGAGAGAGATGGAGCTAGCTAAAATACATTGTGTAAATATACCAAGCTTTCACACAATAAAAACAATTTTAAAAAGCATGTTGGGAGGCTGAAGAGGTTGCTCCGTGGTTAAGGAGCAGAGTACCCCAGTTCAGTCCCAGCACCCAAGTCAGGCTCACAACTTACCTAAAACTCCAGCTCCGAGATCTGATGCCTCTGTTCTCTTTGACACCTGTACACAAGTGCACACATGCTTCCCCATACACATAATTAACAATAATACAAATAAGCAGGGAAAAAATTAAAAACGAATTAAAAGGAAAACCTTTGCCACAATTGCTAAGTTATAAAACCAAATTTTGTGTTCAGCAACAGAGGACTAGAAGAAGACAGCGTGATTTATAAAGTCATAAAAGATAAGTTTATGTTGTTTGCGGGAAAATGGATGTAACTGGAGACAATCATATTGAATGAATTAAGTCAGTTTTAGGAAGACAAATGTTGAATGTTTTCTCTCTTTTGTGGCTCCTAGATTATGTGTGGTTACATAAAAATCACGAATGTATCCATGACAAGAAGATAGAGGTGGAACAGATTTAGGGAAAGAAAGGGACTAGGAGGAGGGGAGCTGTGAGAAGTGGGGAGGCGAGGGGCTATGTTTAACGCAGTTTGCACTTGCACGAAAATGTGCGCATGTGACACATTACCTGTGCAATGAAAATCTGAAATTAAAAGCAAAGCAAAACAAACAAACAAACCTCAAAGCTGGGAGTACTGATGAACTTCTGGAATCCCAGTGTTGAGAGACTATGTCAAGGGTTCAAGCCTAGCCTGGCCCACATTGTGGATTTCTAGGACAGTCTAAACTATACTCGGTGAGACTCTTTCTCAACAAGCAAACATGAATATAAGAGAGATAGACATGAGACGTTCCTAGGTATGGGGAAGAGAAAGGGGGATGAGGGAAGAAGATGGAGACTAGGAATTGGCTCAGCTGTTGAAAACACTTGCTGATAAATCTGATGACCTGAGCTTGATCCCTGGAACCCACTGACCCCATAAGTCCTCTGACGTACATGTTCATGCCATGGAACCCACCTACTTTCACAGGCAGACACACTCACACGAATGCACAAAAATAAATACATTTGGGAAAAAAAAAAAAAAAACCAAGTGCAGTGGCTCAATTGTAACCTTAACACCCAGGGTGGTGCATCCCAGGGGCGTGGTCCAAGCCAATGAAAGACTCCAGGTTAAAAAACAAATATGCATACCTAGGACTCTAAATCCACTTAAAAAATCCAAACAAACAAGCACACAACAACAGCAACAAACCATGACGGAGGAGACCTTAGGCACTCTGGGGGAGAACCTGGCACCACTGCTTATGTAGGTTGACCATCAAGCTGCCTTCTTAGTATCCCTGTTTATACCCACAGAGAAAGGCTGCTGCCAGCTTTAACCAGAGAAGCCTCTCTTTCAGCGGACAGAAGTGAATGCAGACTCTGGTGGCTGAAAACCAAGTAGAGCTGAGCGCTCAGCCCCAAAGACATTTGCAGCTCTTCCTTAGGGCCCAGGAAGGGGTCAAGAAGAGTATAAGAGCAGGACTGGCATGTGCCATGTTCTTGAGGGACTGTTTAGAGGCTCAGTAGGGGAGCATGGCTACTTGCTTACCCTTGACTTAAGACCAGTCTGTCTATAGGGAAGGCTGACCTCTTCAGCTGGGTATGCAGCTTTGGGAAGGATGCATGAGGGAGGAGGGAGACACCCACTTAGTCAGCCCCATCAACTGAATCAGCCCTGGCCATCAGGGAGCCGATGGATGTCTCAACCAGGTTGCTCTCATATTGGAAATGCATTACATGGCGATGACAGCCATGGACTTACAGGGTCTGTATTTGTTGGTTTTTGTCTATTATTGGCCTTAGTTTTTAGACAAAAGGAGCCCTATCCAGGAAGTCCTTTCCAACACCTGTATCATGCATGATGCTACATCTGTTTTCTCCTAGCAGTTTCAGGTTTTATGTTTACATTTTTGATCCATGTGGAGTTAGTTTTTATGCAAGGTGGCAAATATGGCTCTGGTTTTATTGTTCTGTGTGTGGACGTCCCATTTTCCTAGCACCATTTGTTGTTCCTTTTGGCCCCCTTTGTCAAATATGAAGTGGCTGAAGTTACGTGCTCATGTCTAGGTCTTTGGGTTTGTTCTGTTGGTCCACATGTCTGTTTCTGTGCCAGTGCCATACTGTTTTTTTTTTTTTTTATCACGATGACTCTGTAGTATATCTTAAGATCTGGAATGGTCATCTCTCTAGCCTGGGTCTTTCTGCTCAGGGTTGTTTTGGTTCTCTTTTGTGGTTCCATATGAATTTTAGGATAGCTTCTTCTATTTCTGTGAAGAATGAGATGAGTGTTTTGACTGGGATTTCTTTGAATTTGTAAACTGCTTTTGGTGACATGGTCATTTTCACAATATTAATATTTCACAATATTAATATTACCAAACCATGAACGTGGGTTGCCTTTCTGTTTTCTAGTGTCTTTGTGTTTTTCCTCACAGGTGG